AGATTGCGTATTATCTTACTGTAATAATATGTTTGCAACTTTTGTTTAAGATCTCTAAATTCACATCTCAAAACTATAATAATTTGTTTTTTTTTTATGTAATTTTTTTGTCTCAGCACTTTCAACTTGTATAGCATGCTTTTTAATTTTACTGTCACTATTGCTATTTTTTTCAATACATGGTGAATGTAACAGCAAGCTGAGAAGTTAAATAAGACAATCTGGTATTCAAACCTTTGTTTTCTATTTCTCCTTTTCTAGTTATTTCTCCTCTTGATTCATGCCAATTAATAGTTAATAGAATGTTTGGAAAATAAACGCTTATGATTTAGTGGTGATAAATTACTTATGTGCTCAAGTGATGAACTATCCAAACTACTTAAAACAGTAATAAGAGAACTACTTGGAGAAGGACATGATGATAGAAAGACGGGCAAGATTGGTGCAATGCATATACAGGGTTCGTTACAAAATTCCTTAAAACGATTACTATCCATTGTAAAGTTGCAAAACTAACTTTTGCATCTTTTCAAAACTCTAAAGATTTGTGGTTTATAAATATTTAAACTAAATAATTGTTATAAATGACTTAACGCTGTTAATGAATAAAAAAGGTACATGTCTATTTTTACGACGACTGCAAGTTTTGTCGAGTAAAAAGAAGTGTGCATCTAAATACTCTTTGACTGTACTACGTACAAAAAATAAAGTTGCTTTTTGTGCCCATTGCCGGGGCACAAAAAGCAACTTTATTTACAAAAAAAATGTAAAGAAAATCTTGTAAAACTACCGAATAATAATATAACATTAAATTATAAACAATATTATACTTTTATTATTTAAAACATTTTTAATAATACTGTATTATTGCGTAATTAAAAAATATTATTTATACACACAGACAAAAATGCCAATGTATACTGACATCATAAAACATGTGATAATATAAAGAAAATTTAAAAGATACATTGCAAATGTTTACATAAATAAGAAAAGTTGTTTTTAAAATACCGTGTATACCTATCGCTAGAATTATAGTAATCAACGCTTATGTTTTCAATTTCAATGAAACCAATTAAAATTTTAGAAACTATAAACAAGTCACACTAAAATAAATAGTAATTTTCACTTTTAAAATAAAATAAACTAGTAAAAATATATAAACTAATATTAATTAATATAAAAAATCTAATAAATTACTAAAAAAAAAAAGAAAAAGAAAAAAATTATCTTATTGGCAGTCTATATCTAATTGTATTAATATATATATATATATATATATATATATATATATATATATATATATATATATATATATATATATATATATATATATATATATATATATATATATATATATATATATATATATATATATATATATATATTATATTCATAGTCTCTGAAACTTGCGCAAACATTTTTTACTTTTCGTCCATTTTCGAAAAACATTTTTTTCCATATAGCAACTCAAATTAAAAATATTTTTACATTCTTTTTTAACATGTCTATATATTCAATACTTTGTAAATCTTCACCTAATATTTCATAATATTGTTCCCATTTCTCTTTCAGTAAGTCAAATTTTTTACTATTCGTCAATGTACTTACCCATTTAAAAATTCTCATTTTCATAAGTTATTATCTGACATTTTTTTATATCTGAAAAAAAATATTTTTGAATATATTTCTACTAATCATTCATTAACATATTTAAAACATTAATAAAAAGACAAAATTTTGTATTCCGGTAGATCTAAATCCGCAAGTTCGTTCTTAACTTTTGGTCATGATTTTATAACATCTCAAAGTCATATGAGCAATCGCGTCACCAACAGTCACTTTATAAGGTTCTTGAGAACAATTTTATAATAACCCTTTTTTTTTCTTGCTTAAAATAAGCAACAATTACATCAGGAGAATTAAAAACAAAAATACCTTTAGTAGCTAAACTTGATTTCGACATAATCAAACCGACATACATTAGGTAAATCCAAAATCAAAATCTGCTAAAACAATATTTACTTCTGTTTCAAACCATTTCCATTGTCCCAGTAACTAAGGTTTTGCTTTGCTACTTCTTAAATTAAAAACTGCACTACTTTCCGTTTTATAATAGGACCAATTACTTTTATCTCTTATTATAGGATTCATATGTATATCCATCTAAAAAAAAACACTTTAAAACAAGGATTCTATTAAAAATATAAAAAATTTTACTTCTCCGAATAAATAAAAACTTTATTTTTTTATTTTAAACATTATTTTAAACTAAATTTAAAAAATATTAAAAAAATCCAAATTTTTAATGATTCACAAAAAAAAATTACAACTTTACACAAGCTTGACAAAAATATGAAGAACTTATTTTAGATTTACAAAAATATTGCTTTAAATCAGTGGTTCCCAACCGGTGGTCCATGGACCCCTGGGGGTCCATAAGAACTTTTAAAGCGGACCACAAGATAAACGTAAATTCTAAATATTTTTTGGTAGTGAAACTTAATTTTGATTATTTTTTTCTGTTGAAAGAAACAAATTAAATTTTAAATTAAAAATGTAATTTATGCGAGAAAGCTGTTACACAAAATTTGCGTTAACTAATTCGACGAGGACTTGCGGACCTCTACGAAGTAATAAATGCTATATAATATCATTTTTTATCCGTAAATTTAAAATGTTAAAATCTTATCTCATGGTAAAGATAACCTTACTGATTTGTTTGAAAGAACGTAATTTGTGTTATTTTCTATAAAAATTCGATATTATACTACTCTTATCTATAGATGCTTTTTATATTATTTTTTAAATACTTTAGATGTCTAAAAGTAAAAAAAGGTCATACTTAGATGAATACATGAGATATGGATTTACCTACATGCTTAAAGCAACCATTAGCTACCCACAGTGTGTTATTTGTTATAAAGTACTAGGAAATGACTCTATGAAACCTTCAAAGCTTGCTATTCACTTGAATAAGTGCCATCCTGATCTCCAAACAAAAGATACTGATTTTTTCAAAAGAAAATTTGAATCACTGAAGAGATGCAAATTGGATAAAACTGGGATTATTTACCAAACTCAACAGAATATAGTAAAAGCATCCTATAAGATTTCATATATAATAGCACAGAACAAAAAAGCTCACACATTGACTGAAGAAGTTATACTTCCATGTACAAAAGAAATCGTTAGATTATTATTTGGAGAAGAAGCTGCAAAGAAGGTAGATAATATATCTTTATCAAATACTACAGTCAAACGAAGGCTAACGGATATTTCATCAAACATTAAAGAAAATGTTATTAATGAAATTAAAGAATCCCCATATTTTTCTATTCAGTTGGATGAGTCCATAGATGTAAGTTCAATGGCACAACTAATTTTATATTGTAGGTATATTCACAATAACAAATTTAAAGAAGAATTTTTGTTTTCTTCTTGCCTTGAAACAACAACAAAAGCAGCTAATACTATGGAAATTTTAAAACAGTTTTTCAATGACAATCAATTACAATGGAAATATTTGTTTGGAATTACTACTGATGGAGCTCCTGCCATGATGGGTTGTAAGTCTGGATTACAGACTAGGGTGAAAGAGATTGCTCCAAATGTAGTTGGTGAACACTGTTTTATTCATAGACAGGCTTTGGCAACCAAAACTTTACCAGGTAGTTTGAAAACTGTGTTTAATCAATTAGTCAAGTTGGTCAATTATATAAAATCTTCTGCTCTTAACACTCGCCTTTTTACAAAATTTTGCTCTGACCTAAATGCTGAACACAATAAGTTATTGTTTTATACTTCTGTGCGATGGCTATCTGCTGGAAATTTTTTGGAAAGATTTTTCATGCTTAGAAATGAAGTGAAAGAATTTTTATGTCAAATGAAAAGTGGACTGGTAGAATATTTTGAATTTGATAATTTTGAAATAACAACTGCTTATCTTGTGGACATCGTAGGTCATTTTAACAAGTTAAATTTGCAACTTCAAGGCAAAAATGCTAATGTTATTACACATTCAGATAAACTGAAGGCATTTATTGAAAAGCTCAAACTGTACAAGACTAGAATTAATAATGGAAACTTGATCATGTTTCAAAATTTAAATAACATAATTGGAGTTAACATGCTTCCTGAAGTTATAAAGACAGAAATAGTTTGTCACCTAGATAATTTGATTACTGAATTTGGTAACTATTTTCCAGATATGAATCTTTTGAGCAGTGAAGTTATTATATCACCATTTTCTTGTGATGTGAAAAATGTGAAAGAGGAAGCACAAGAAGAGTTTATAGAGTTAAAGAATGATACCACGGCTAAGGATCACTTCAAAGTAGCACCATTAAATAACTTCTGGTTGAAAATGAGGAATTCATATCCATTGTGTTCATCAATTGCACTTAAAGCCCTTATTCCTTTTTCAACATCATATTTGTGTGAAGCCGGGTTTTCAGCAATGCTATCTCTTAAAACAAAAAAAAGAAATAGACTTGATATTGATGCAGATATTAGATGTGCTCTATCAAAAACTAAACCAAATTTTCAGATATTAATTGCTAGTAAGCAGTGTCAGAATTCACACTGATCTGTTCTTGTATCATACATAAACTAAGATAAAAATTTTTTGTGTCATTGATAAATATTGATTTTGTGTCTAGTCTATTCAAAAATACCTTAAAATATTATCCTTATGAATAAAAGTTACATTATTAAAATGTTCACCTTGTAATAATTTTTAAAATCAAAGGGGTCCATGAAGATTTTAGGATATTTAATTTGGGGAACGGGTTAGAAAAGGTTGGGAACCACTGCTTTAAATAATACACATAACAATAACTGCATTTAATGACATTCGATTCCATTGTTTCTAAAGTACTTTCATAATGCGTAAATTTATTTTGAAACATCTCTAACATATGCAAACACATATTTAATTCATCATAAATTTCTTTGACTCTTTTTAATCGTTACATAGCATGTTGAATTTTTAGCGCATCTTAGTCCAATTTGACATATAAGTTAATAACATAATTTGGCGGAAAACCCACATATTTGAGTCTGTATGCAAGTGTACTCTTTAAATAATTTTCAATTTCATTCCTATATTTTTCATTCATATTTTTTTATATCAAAAAAAAAATTAAATTAGGGTAAATAAACTTATTAAAAATAAATTAAAAAAAAAAATTAAATAAAAGAAAACAATAATTTAATAATTGAAACATTTACTAATGTAAAAAAAATCAATATCCTTTATATTTACAATATTTTTCAATAACAATGATGTAGTCCGTAATCGTAATTGTGTGATTTTCAAACGTTTATGTTTCAAATAGCGCATTGAACAAAAGTGTTTTTTAATATGTTCGCATTCCGACAACGATACAAACATTACTTTGGTACACTTTAAACATTCCTCATATTCAGTCTTTATTATGTTTAACATTTTCTTATAATGCAATGCTTCTATACGAGCTTTCTTTAAATTATAATGCAATGCTTCTATACGAGCTTTCTTTAAATTTTTAAACAACAATTTTTTGTGAACAGATAAATTTTTCAATTTATTTTAATTTTCTTTTTCTTCTTTTCTTTTACTGCATCTGATTCATCTGTTTCAGTATCTGAATCAACCCACATGTTTGTTTTTTTTACTTAAAAATTATTTTGAAAATAATGCGATTCAATCTTTACTTCACATTTTGTTTCCATTTTACTATTTACAGAATTCATTTTTTTCTCAAATCACTACTCCGATTTACTGTTGTCCAGAAATTTTCAATTTTTTGTCTTATTTATAATAAACTATGACGTCATTACTGTTGTCCAGAAAGTCAATTTTTTGTCTTATTTATAATAAACTATGACGTCATTACTGTTGTCCAGAAAGTCAATTTTTTGTCTTATTTATAATAAACTATGACGTCATTACTGTTGTCCAGAAAGTCAATTTTTTGTCTTATTTATAATAAACTATGACGTCATTACTGTTGTCCAGAAAGTCAATTTTTTGTCTTATTTATAATAAACTATGACGTCATTACTGTTGTCCAGAAAGTCAATTTTTTGTCTTATTTATAATAAACTATGACGTCAAACACTATTGTGTTAGGTTCAAAATTTATTACTCAGATTAAACTCTGTTTAAGAGAAACCAAGTTTAATTCCTGGACTATGATATGTTTTATTATCTCGAGCAAAGTTCATTCTATTTTTAATTTCTTTGTTTTAATAAAAAATACTCGTTTTTCTTGTTTTTTTTTATCCTCTTTGTTTTAAAGTGGTAGACCACTAATTAAATCAAATCCTTTAAAAACTACATTTTATATATTATTTACATCTAATTTGACTAAAACTTACTTTTGAATGACAAAATTAAAAAAAAAAGTTCAATAATTTTTTTGATTACAAAAATTTGGTCGCAGAAACCCAAAAATATCTTCATTTCATTGCGGTGGTTATCTCAAAAACTATTGAAACTATTAACTTGAAATTTTTTAAATTTACTTTTAATACAATAAAGAAGATCTTGTACCAAAATCAAAAAAATATAATGAACAGATTTTTTTTTATAAGAAAAACACTTGACGATCATAAAAATAAGGCGTTTTTGACCATATTTGGGCCTAAAAATCTTTGAATTGAATTAGCGTATTATCATTAAAGTGGTAGGGGACATTCATAACAACAAAAGGAACAACTTCTAAAAATTTCAAGGAAATCATTTAAGAAAAGTTTGAGATATTCACCGCGAAGTCGTGAGTTTTAGAAAACTAAGAAAAACACATTTAAACAAAAAAAAGCATAATTTTTCAAACAAATATTAAAATACTCCTATAAAAAGCCTATTGACAAATATCAACTTATATTAAAAGTGTTGTGGAGTAAAAGTATAGATAACTATAAAAAACAAAAAAAGGTTTTATTAACAGGCATTACTTTCAAAGTTAGATTTCATTAAAAAAAAATGTCTCACTTTTGATTTGCAATTTAGTTTAAAATAAAAACTCCTATCAGTTTTATGTTAAAGGTTATTACTAGTAAATGAATATCAAGTGTATATATAAACTAAATATATAAAATAACAAAAAAAATATATATAAACTAAAACTATTATGCATCATAAGAGATATTCTCATTAACTACTGTATTCTTATTATAGTTTTATTTTCAGAATATAAACTTATTTTTAGAGCTTCTTCGCTGCGGCATTCATGCTAGCTTCAGCTATAATTTCTTTGTTTAACTAGTTAAAAAATTTCTTTATAAGATCAAACATGTCATAAAACCACAAAACTTTTTAATACTACGGTATTCTTTGCCCATTTCTCAATAAACTAATTTTGTACATAAATAAACATTAAAATTTCATTGCTGCTGGTTTGTTTTGGTAGAATAAAACTTCTGAATAAAGTTATGAGACAGTTTCATAAGTCATATTGTTTTGAGCATTGTAAAAATTTAGAATTTAGAAGTTACATTTTAGGAAGTTTTCAATAGCAAACAATGCCAGCTATTATTCCATCTCATATGTTGGTGTTCATAAGTATGTAGCAGTCATTTGTAACATTGAACTGATCGTAATTAGCAGAAATAGTATTTACAAAAGCATTACTTAAAAGTAATGTAAATAATATTTCTTAAATTTACAAATTATTTACTGCTGGATCTGGATGTACACATGTCCATTTAAATTTTTTTTTGCTATGCTACATTCAAATTTTAGTTCATGCAAATTAGATACAATTTTTTCAGCTGCATTGTTTGTTGATTGATTTTGGTTTTCTTTAAAAAGTTTTAATAAGTAATTTACTATGATTTGTTTTATTTCTTTTTTTTTCTATTACTTTCCATTACTAATATTATTTAATCAAAGTAATAGGATAAATATAAAGTGATACAGAAAACAGCAACTATAGTTAGAAATTTTAATAAAACTCATGTAGCCAAATGCACCAAAAGTGTTAATCAATAAACAAAAAGTAATTTTGGAGTTGCAATCACCACATTTAGTTTTTTATATTAAAAATATATACTATAATTATAAATAATTTCCATTTCAGCTGTATAGCAACGGAATAAACAAAGCGTTGCTATGGAAAAATAAAAAAAATTTACTTATACCGCTTTTTTTAAAAGTTGTTTTTAATGATGTTAGCTATTTTTTTCATAAAAATTAACTTGAAATTCGTAATCTACGATAGCTATATTACTTTAAAAAAATGCAACTGAAAAAATGATTTTTTTGATTTTTAATAGTGGTCTACCACCTTAAAAAGATATAAAATAAAACATTTTTTAAAAATTTTTTATAAAAAATATTGGAAACAGTCTTTGTGGTCGGTTTTCTTACAGAAATAAAATAGTATATTAAATTTCCCGATTTAGCCGCTGCTACATGATGGAGTTTAGATTTAAAGAAAGAAGAAATAAAAGAGCGGCAATATAGCAAAATTCCCATATGTCACGCACAATTTAATTTTGCTGCTCGAGAACTAGTGTTTTGTACGAAAATGGACAAAGTAAGCGTTTTATTACCTTAGTTTTGGTAAACGTAATGCGTCGATCATGCTTCAAAGAAGTGGATTTTTATGTATAGAGCTGAAATTAAACTTAACAAAGATGGTTCGCGTTTTGCTACAATAAACTAATATTAAAAAAGTTGCAAAAGATTTGGCAAACAAAGAAACGCAAGAATATAAAAAAGAAAAAGAAGAAGATTTAAAAAAATAAAGAGTTGAAAAAAGAAAAAGAAGATGAAAAAAAATCACTTATTTTTAGAAACATTAAAAAAAAATTTTTTTATTAAAAACAAGTTTTGTTCATCAAAAATTAGTTTCTTTTTTTTTTTAAATAGAGTATATCTTTGTTTAAAAAAAGTATAAAAAGCAAAAAAATAATAGGATCAAATCATTTTGAAAAAGAAATGACTTGCAAGCAGGTCGAGCAATCATTAGAAAAGCGATGTTTTTGTTTTGGCCTTTATATAGCCAAATTTGACGCACGCGTGATAATTTTGGAGCTTGGCAAGAATTAGTAAAAGAGCAATTAGCAGAAATGGGATATTCAATTACATTTATCTGAAGAAGAAATGATTGATTTGTATTAATTGTTTATAATTAGGGAGTATGAAAATACAAAAATGCTAGTTTTAAAACACTCACTTTTCGTGAGTGTTTTAAATTGGATGATGTATTTATAATTAGCAAAGATTATACCTATTATCGAAAACTTTGCAAAACGATGAATAACTATTTTTTACCCTATTACGTATGCCGACATTAGGAAAAAATAAAAGTAATGCAGACACAAATCAACCATTACGCTCTTTGAAAAAAGATTTGGAACGTTATATAAAAATATACAAGCGCATCTATCGACACGAAAACTATGACAAGTTTCAAGAAAAAAAGCGTTGCATTCCGTGGAAAACCAAAATAGATACAGCGTTTAAATTTTGTTTTTTTGTTTCCGTATTTAATAAAAAAATGTTTTATTTTATATCTTTTTAAGGTGGTAGACCACTATTAAAAATCAAAAAAATCATTTTTTTAGTTGCATTTTTTTAAAGTAATATAGCTATCGTAGATTACGAATATCAATATGGCTTGATCATATGGATTACGAATATCAATATGGCATTTTTTAAAGTAATATAGCTATCGTAGATTACGAATATCAATATGGCATGATCATAATTCAATATATAAAATACAACGATCCAAATAAAAAAAAAAAACTTTTGTTTAAAGATATATTGCTACACTAATGTTATAACACGCTTTACAATCCACAACTAATATATAATTATTTTAAATTTGAAAAAATAAAAAAAGTAAAGGATAAGCTAATGATCTACAAATTTATTAAACAATGTAATTTTAAAAAATAAGGAATTATGCAAATGTTTCCCAAAGCCAATTGGTTTTATTTTTTTAAAAGAAATTTTAACATTTCCATCATATTACATAAAGTAGTTAATCAACTCTTCGATGTGAACAATAAAGTGATAGAAAATGATAAAATTATAAATCATGTTAAACATTTTAACTTGTATTGTTTGAATGATGAAAAAGGATTTAAATAAAAAAACAGTGTTTTTTTCCTGTATTTATATTTTACTAGCTGTAAGCAACCCGTAATACGGGTTAGTAGTAAATAAATCATTACTAAAAATTTGATCTTTATTTACTTTCTCTAATGAAATATAAATTTATTTATACATTTTTTTAGTTGAGCTCATTTTTATTTTTCTTGGCTTAAGAGAACTCTTAGCTTCATTAAAGATAAAGTTAACCATTTCTTTTGCAATGTTCAGACATTGAATGCGCAAATCACAACCATGTAGTAGTTAAAAGTGACTTAAATTATATGCACAGAATATCGATGTCAAATTTTCAAATTCCGTAAAATTGTTTACGTAAATATTGGGAATATATTCTACTCTTAATTTTTCTTTAAGCTGAGTCGTTTCTTTTTTTTTTAAACTTTTTATTTTACTGAGTGAAGAGCTTAAAAATATGTCACTATCGCACCAAAACTTTTCAATGTTATTAATATACTTTTTAAATATTTTAAAATATCTAAAATATTACCCAAACTTGTAGGCATAGAAGTTGGATATCCGGAAAAACTATAAGTTGAAAAATATATCCCAATTCCGAAAAGGGCTTAGCCCTGCATACGGATCCTATATTATTATGATAAAGATTATTATTAAACCAACCTTTTTTTTAATTAGTAATCCAGCAGAAACTTGTTTATAAAAAAACAATAAAGGAATATATGAATTTACTTTAATAGCTAACGTGTATCAACATATTTATTTCAGCATACATCCAATCCATATTTATACTAATTTTATAAAATGTCTGGAATACATTTTGCATTAACTTGGCGTTAAAATATTAGTTTTATTTCATTAATTTTTTTATAGATCAGGTTAATAATAAAAGCAATTGGATTTTACTCAATATTTTTGAAATAATTATTCAACTTTAATAAAATTGATAAAATCATATAAGACAGTTAAAAAATATATTTAAACCTTTGTTCACTTTTTGAAAATCCGTAAAAAAGCAATTATCAAGTTTACATATCTTTAAAAGAAATTTATTTACATGATATATATTAAATTTTGCTGGCGTTTACTAAATATTCCTTATATTACTCGAAGTTTCGGTTTCGTCAATATTTTGACATATCCGTTAATTAAGAGCCACTTCCCTTTTTTTGTTTTAATGGTAGCCATGTGGGTAGAATTTCTTTTGTTAAGAGTAATCTATTTATGATGAAGACCTTTTACCAAAATAATAAAGCGTAAAACAACGATTTACATATATAAGAACGTTTTCTTTCCTCAAAAGTGTTGCAATTGCAGACTAAACTAATCAACTTAATATTTGACAAACTGCAAGTCTCCCTGTGTTTTTAAAAATTCTAAAGTTTGTTTTTAATTACGACCCCCCACCGTTTACGAAGATCACCTTAGATACGAACAACGAATTATTAAAGCATAAGATAGGGAAAACATCGGAAAAAAAAAAATATGTCTTTATATCTTTTTAACAAACGAACAAAATTTTACAAATTTAAAAAATCAAGTTTTTTTTTTTTAAATATCGTAAAAATACGTCATATGGTAAAATCTAAAATAAAAAAAAGTAACGGAATTATAACATCATATATATATATATATATATATATATATATATATATATATATATATATATATATATATATATATATATATATATATATATATATATATATATATATATATATATATATATATATATATATATATATATATATATATATATATATATATATATATATATATATACATATATATATATATATATATATATATATATATATATATATATATATATATATATATATATATATATATATATATATATATATATATATGTATATATATATATATATATATATATATATATATATATATATATATATATATATATATATATATATATATATATATATATGTATAAACACACCACATATAAACACTGAAAATCGATTTACCTGTTTTTGTAACCTTTTAATATTGCAATTAATATAAACATTTATAGAAAAGGCAGCTATAAAATCTTTTTCGAAGTACTAAAGGATTAACAATACTAAAAAAAAAAAATCAAATAAAGACATAAATTGAATTTTTAGCAAGATTTTGTCTTGGCTTTTAGTAAATGAATAAAAGCAGCAAGTTCCAATAAGGAAACTATCTATTATTCATTTTTAACGATAGACACCAACGGGAAGGTAAGCCAAGCTGTCATCAACACAAAACATCACAACAGTATAACAATATTATACATTATAACAATAACACATAACACTAACACATATTTACACCTATATAACTAATATTTACACCCTTGACTCTAAAATTCAGTGGAAAATAACAAACCAATTTTATAAGAATATGAAAGGCAAAACTAAAAAAACAATTTTGAGTTATCTATATTTATCCTTTTACGAAACTATAATATAGTATATTTGCTTTTATCTTCAATATTAGTTATTTAATTATTTCAAATTTAGGGATCAAGATTGCATGCTCTTTTATACACATTACACAAAACATTACCAGACATTATGTGTTTTCAGAATAATTAAAAAAACCTAGACAACACAACCTAGCTCTAAAGCAGTAACACCGCCTGGTACAAAATGCTGCCAAGTCACACTTCTGCTATAAGTACACCGCTTGGCTGGCAAGGTTAACAATCTTGCTTAACATATTACAAAGTCACACTACTTTGAAAACATGGAAACAACATAATGTAAATATATATACAACTATAAACAAATATGACTTCATATAACACATATAACACATATAAACACAATATATAACAATATTAAATGACAAATATATTTATCAAAAACTATGAAAAAAAAAAATTAAAGTTACACATACAAAATGTGCTCACAACCTAAAAACAGTAAATTTTAGAAATGAAAATATTAAGACTATAAATTAAGAACATTAAAAAATATAACATTATTTGTGTAGTATTTTTCACCTACCATACCTTGAATAAGATGTTTATTAATTTTGAAAAACAAACTATTAAATGCTCTAGTTCTTGAACATGCAACGTATAGTTGACCATGGGAGAAACACGGTTTTTTTAGATATACCCCAACTCTATCAAATGTTTGACCTTGACTTTTATTGATTGTCATCGAATAAGCCAATCTGACAGGAAACACACGACGTTTTAGAACAAAAGGTAAATTAGAAACTGATGGAGCCAACTGAATTCGAGGAACAAAAATCCGTTTACCTTCAGAAACACCTGTCAAAACCTCTGCATCAATATAATTGTTTTGGAGAGCACAAACTTTCATTCGGGTTCCATTACATAGCCCAGCTTTAAGATCGAAAATTTCTAAGTAGCATAATTACACAACCAATTTTCAATTTTAAACAATGAGTAGGCATACCTGAAGGAGTTAAGCTGTTCAAAAACTCAACAGGGAAATTATTTATTTCATTAAGATTGTCAGTGCCTATTTGATTAGCATTTAAATAAGTTTTGACCTCTCCATGTATTCGTTCGAGCACTTCTTCATTGATTGACAATGAATCCACATTAGTGGGTGTTAAAGTGACACGTTTAGCATAATCATCTTGTTGAGCATCTCCAAATATTTTTTCAACAATTGATTCGTTTTCTCTAATAATGCACTGTTGCGGTATTTCAATACATCCCTTAAAAGGATCTTCCTCCTTGACAGGTATTGTTCCACTACAAAGTTTTAACAGCCATTCGGAAAAATCTCCTTCTCCATCACGTACTCTCATATTTTCAGTTAATGTAAACTTCTGCACTCATTGCCAGTGTCAAGAACATTTTATACATGATTCTACAACTTCAGCTGGTCTCCATCTTTTCACAATAGACAAAATTTGCCTAAAGTCACCACCAAAAAGAATGACTTTTCCTCCTAATGGAAAGTTGTTGTTGCAAACATCTTTTAACAACCGATCGATTGCATTTAAAGCGTGTTTGGGAATCATGGATGTCTCGTCAAGCATAAACAAACTAACTTGCCTTAAAAATTGTCCCTGATTAGAGTTAGGAGTCACATTACATGTGCTGTTATCCAGTATTGGGACAGGAAGTTTAAATAAGCCATGCAGCGTAGATCCATTTGTAAGTAGAATTGCTGCTATGCTAGTCCATGCAGCTGTAGCAGATTTAACACCCCTACTGCTCATTTCAGCAATCAAATAATTATATGTAAAAGTTTTGACACTATCGGCTGGTCCATCCATAAAAAACAATCTGGAATGTTGATTTTCTACACTTGGTTGCTCGTTAAATGCAGCAAGGACAGCATTACTTACATTTAATTGATTGACATTAAGAAGCGGTCTCATTCTATTATTTTCGTCAATTGATTGCTGAACATTATCACTTAAATTTTTTAGAATAAAATCTATGAATTCATCAACAACAGGCAAATTATAATCAGATAGCGTTTTACCACTTTGATTAATAATCTTTTCGATTTGAAGAAGAGTAGCTTGTTCAGCTAATATAAATGGAACTTGGCGATGAATGAAATCCTCCATCATAAAAGCTATGTATGAATTCCAAAGATGCAAAGGGTCATCTGGTTCACAAAAGGATAAAATAATTGAAAACAGCTGCCTGATTTGCTTAGACATTCGCGTTAAAACTTCCTCAGAAAGAGTATTCTGCCATTCAGTGTCATTTTGCAACAAACAATTAAAAACACACGCTTCACGAAAGGTTTCAAGAACTATTCCATTAACAGTACGCAAATCCTCCTAAGATGTTGCTCTTTTTGCTTGCAAAAGTAACAATCTAAGAAAAAATAATTCTTCTGTTGGACTAACTTTATACATTTTTACTATTACCTTATCTCCACCTCTTTGTCTAACCTTCCATTTACAATGTTTATCATCAAATACAAAGTGATATGGAATGTCAACATATGAGTAGTGATGGGCTCCTTCATTTTCAGAATTCAATTTAAACCAGGCCGTAAGGTGTGTATCACATTGAGCAGCACGATTTAACGCCACTTTTCTTCTCCTTCTCTAAAATACACAATCTGATTCTCAGGAAGATGAACTTTATAACGGATAATAGTAAGTGACATATGACTTATGGGATACTCAAATATTCGCCACAGTGCCTCAGATGCACTAACATAACGACAATCTAAGAAAGTATTTATTTCATCGTGATTAACCTGTTCATTTATCAAAACATTTGCACAATCATGCCCTTTGTATATGTATTTGTACAAATATTTAACAGCCTTTACAGACATGCAAGCTTTAACATTAATGTGGGCTTGATATTTCTTTGATAACCAAGGATTATATGGTACCACCTGATGATACATGTATACCAGTTTTTTTTAAAAAATTTTTAAAAATACAAGAAACTTCTTCTTCTTATAAAAAGGGGGGAGGGGGTAGTTATAAAAAAAGTAAAAATAAAAAAGAGGGGTAAAAATTTTCTAAAAAATAAAAAATAAGAAACTTGGGTTAGAGGGTTAGGAGGGTTAGGAGGGTTAGGGTGTAGGTAGGTGTCAGGGTGGAAGGCAAAGGGGAGGGTGAGGGGTGAAAATATAAAAACATAAATCAAGTGTAATCAGGTGGATAAGCAGGTGCGTAATCAGTGTGTGTGTGCGTGAAAATAGGGGGTTAGGGGAGTTAGAGGGTTAAGGTGGTTAGGGGTTAGGGGGGTAGGTAGGTGTCAGGGTAGGAGGCAAAGGAGAGGGGGAGGGGTGAAAATATAAAAACATAAATCAAGTGATAAGCAGGTAGGTTAAAAAAATCAATGTTATTGGGTGTAATGAGTGTGTGTGAAAATAGGCGTTATCAGGTGTCAAGAGGTGTTAAGGAGGTAAGCGGAATGTGTTAAAAAATATATATATAAACCGTTAAAATATGTTAAATAAAAAAAGTAAAAAAAATTTTTATTTATTTTACGTGTGTTTTTAAATTTTATTTAAAAAATGGTTCGAGACAAAAAATCTGTGCGACATTCTGTACAATATATAAAAGAACAAGAGGAAAACAAAAGATACGTAGCCGATTTGTTTCGTCGTATAAAACAACCTAGCGCCAACCTAGCTCAACAAAATAACTCGGACGTGGACTTTGTTGTGGAAAGAGGTAGCGATTCACCTCATACTCGATCAGGGTTAATGTGCAAAAGAAAAACAAAACAAAAATATAAAGATAACAAACAAAATAGAAAGAGTGGACGAGTTGGAAAGAGTGTATATAAATGGGTATTGACAAAGAAAAGTTTAAGGTATATTATATGTTTAGTTAATGAAAATAATTTTAAATAAGTTAACATTAAAAAAATATTAAATTGCATTATGGCGCGTACAAAAAAAATATCACGTACAAAAAAAATATCAAAAAGTGAGTTAAAAGAATTAAACAGAATATACTATCGGCACGGTGGAAAAATTGCAAATCAATGGCGTCAATTAGGTCGACAGCCTCAAGTTGTAGTAAACAAAATGGATAGTAAAGAAATTTCAAATCGAACAGTAAAAAAGATGGATTGCAAAACGGTTTGGTACAAAAAACGCGCAACAAAACAAAAATATAAAAATACAAAAAATAATATTAAAAACGGTGTGGTAGGAGATATAGTACATAAATGGGTATTAACAAAAAGGTAAAAAAAAAATAAAAAAAGTTGTTATTATTGTTTTTTTTTTAATAAAAAAAATTTTTATAATTAATAATTTTACAAAATAATAATATTTACAAAATAAATATTTACAAAACAAAAACATCGAAATAATGTTCTAATATTTTAGTTTCTATTATTGCTTTTTTTTGATCACACGGTAGGATTTCAAAATATTTTAAAAAAGTTTTTTCTAATTTGTTCACAATAAATCTGAAGACTTCTATTTGCGTATCATCAGGGTGTTATTTTTGTAATTTCAGATCGTAACCAAGTAGTGATTGCAACATTCCCATTGTCATGCAAACTAATTCAATGTTAAAATCATTTTTTGTGAAATCCAGTTTGTTTATTTTAGTCAAATCCATTTTTTTTATTTATCTAAAAAAAAAATTAAATTATTTTTATTTTATACATTTAGATGAAAAAAAGACAAAAAAGAAATACGCATTACAAAAAAACCAAGCGAAAAACTCGAAAAACTGTCAAACGAGGAAAAGGATTGGCTTCGTTAATAACAGTGGATAATGCAAAAATGATTGGAAAATTTGCAATTCAAAATGCTGACGTTTTAGGCACTTTAGCTAATTCGCTTTATAATAAAATTAAAGGAAAAAAGAAAGAAACGCCTGTAAAAACGCAAGAAACGCTAATAAAAACGTTGCCTACTGATCTTTCACAAATGTCATACGAAGAAAGACAAGCTTATTATAAAAATTTGTAACAAAAAAATTATTTTTTTTATAAATAATAAAAAAAAGCATACAAATTATTTAAAATTTAAATCGTCATCTGACAATTCTTCTTGTTTGATCGAGTCTTCTGATATTCTTTCTTGTTTAATACAAAATGGTTCTTGCATTGGATCGTTATTATCGCAAAATGGTTTTTTTTTCATTTTGTTTTTAATTTCATCGAATATTTCCATGTTTTTTTCGTAATTGACTCTTTTTTTTCTTTCATGTGCCCATGACGCTTTTCTTAGTTGTTGTTGATATCTTTTTTTAAAGACTCTGATTTGAATTTGGTTATTTTTAAGTTTGGTCAAAAGTTTATTAATTTGTAATAGTGCGCTTGTGTTTTCAGAAAGTCGACTCATTATATTATCTGGATTTCGTTCAGTACTAAAAAAATAAAAAAAAATTAAAAAAAAACTATACAAGTAAATAATTTGTTTTATGGTAAATTAAAAAAAGCACTTACGTAATGACATAGTAAGATTCAAGATCGCAACGAAAATTAATCAAAAGGTTGGTAGCTTCTTCTTGAATTTTAAAGTTTTTTTAAAAGTTTTTAAACGTTCTTTTACAACGTCAGTCATATTTTTTTAAAAAAAAATATGACTGACGTTGTAAAAGATTGAAAAAAAATTGCTGGCCTAGGCTATCGTGTAGAATCTGTAGAAACCATTTTAAAAAATATGATAATTTGTTTTATGGTAAATTAAAAAAAAAAAACACTTACGTAATGACATAGTAAGATTCAAGATCGCAACGAAAATTAATCAAAAGGTTGGTAGCTTCTTCTTGAATTGTTTTTGCTAATTTAATTTGTATTTTTAATAATTTTTCCTTATCTGTTTCTAAATTTGATAAATTTTCTTTTTTCGTATCTGCGTCCATATTTTATTCTTTTCTTTTTAAAAAAAATTATAATAAACTTTTTTTTTATAAGCTTTGATTAAAAAACTTGATTTTCTAGTTATTAAATAAATAAAACAGTTTTATAACATCGTGGGAAGGTTTTAAAAAAATCATATGATAATAAAGTTTCTTTGAAGAAAGCGCTATTTTGATAGCGCTTTGTCATAAGATGTTATTTGAGTGTGTTTTTTTATTTGCATAACCTTTAATACGTTTTGAGGATGAAGCAAAAAAAAATATCATATGATGTTTTTTCAAGTCAGAATATTTGCGTAACCTTTAATACGTTTTTGAAGGTGAAGCAAAAAAAAAATCATATGATGTTTTTACAAGTCAGTTTTTTATTTGCACGCTTTGTTGGTAGTGTAAATAAATTAAGGGTATAAAAAGACGAGCTTTTTTATAAAAAAAACCAGAGTAATGGCAACGCTTGGTAATAACAATATTGAATTAAAAGGTGTAGTTTA